AAAGGTGTTAACCTGCACTGGCCTGGCTATAAGCTGTGTGAAGTTGATATTGACTCCCTTTTTCTGACTGTGAATCAATTTGCAGGTCTTTTTTCTTTCTCCTAAAAATATTTAAGAAAAATGAGTAAAAAGTTAGTGAAATGATGTATATCTTTTTTCTTGATATTTCTGGGTAACTTGTTGTATATGTGTTAAAAGTGCTTGATAGCTTGATTCAAAGGGGATGTTGTTTTCCTTATGTATTTGAACTGTTTCACTTTTTTCAAGAAAATTACCAAAAAAGGAAACTTTTGAAAAAAGGAGGATCAGCAAAAAGAGTTTTTTTTGTATTACTTTGGTTATCTATGTCTGTATTATTCTTCTTTAACCCATATACATTATTCTATAGGTTTTGAGACTGTAATACAAAATCACTTTTATATCTTATCTTATCAAATATTTTTTTATAATACTTATTATAGTATGTTTATAAAATATTTATATAGAGTCTTAGATATCATCTCATCTTATAAAAGCACTTTTTTATAAGACATATTATAGCCTATCTATAGAGTAATTATATAAAGTTTTGAATGGATATTAATTTGATAGAGATTCTTTTTAATTAACATATTTAAGTTTCACTAGTTCCTTTATTTTTATAGTATGCAGATCTTTGATCTATCTGCAGAAGCTTGAAAAAATTAGTTTTGTGACAAGGTGACTTCAATACTAAAACTAACTGAAACATCTTATGATTTTTAATTACTTTATGATTAGATAAAATCTTGTTTAGAGATGATTAGATAATTATAATATAATGGATAGGATCTTTTTGTATCACCTAAGACTATTTAAGTAATACTGTTTCATAGTGGTATTGAACTCAGAAACAGTACTTGGTGACCTGGGAATACTACTACTATACTATTTATTCACAGGTTATTGAATAAATAAATACTTTTATATTTTTTTATTGATAAATTATAGGTTTATTAAAATAAACTTGAGAAAATTTTATAGATTGATAAATAAAATATACTTGAAATTATAAGTAAATAAATTTTAAAATAAATCAAATAGTTTTAATTTGTAATATAAAACTTTAGAAGATCAATAGTAATAAATTATGGATAATAATTTGATTTGCTTAAAGATAATCCAAGCCAAGAAGGAAGCAAAATATCATTTCTCTAAACTGTATCCAAAGAAAAATAAATTTTAATAACAGATAAGTTAATATAAATTGTAACCATTTTATATACTGTATATATTGTATATACAGTATGTATGCAATAAAGATAGATAAACCATATTAACGGATTAAAAAATAAAATAAAATTAAGTATTTCTTTAAGCTTGTAATTAATTAATTAATTAAAATCCTAAGGAATATTAATATTCTATAGGAATACAATCACTTTTTCATCTTTAAAATTTTTTCAATCATCTATTTAAAATTTATTCGATGGGTTATTAATTTATAATAATATTTCAAACTTCGTGCCTATGCAAGTTCTAAATTTTCATTTCAGAATCTTATCGGACTTTTTTTTATAATTCTGTTATTATTTTGTAACTGTTTAATTCGGATAACTTAACAGTTACAATAGCCCAAATACAGATCACAGCACTACACTAATCTATAGTAGAATAATACTTACAGGTAATTTATGACTCGCAAAACACAAATTTATATTAAATAAGAATTCCTACTACAGTACATGATTCAAAGGTTCACAAAGTTTTTTCTAATGTTACTTTAATAAAAAACAAGATTACTTATCCCCCCCAAATTCCTCACAGGAAAAATTATTTTTTAAATTGATCTTCGGTTACTCCTTTGCCCATGGCAGCTGTCGAAGCGATACCTCCCTGAACAGTTTTGACTTGAAAAATATTAGCAAAAACATAAGTAAAAGAATGTGTTGAATGGAAGAATCTAGCGAATAAAATAATTACTTAGAGAATCGTAGTAGTTAGCACCAGACCAAGTTTGATGTTGTAACGTTTCGACACCATTGGCGCGTTCTTGACGTTGAATACCTTGAACGTAGGCTAACATACCATCCTTGGAATAATTGCGAGAAAATACATCTAGTAAAAGATTCATGAAAAATTATAAATGGGTTTAAATTCAATAAAAAAATTAAATATTTGATTTTACCAATTCCCAAAGCATCAGAATGGAACCCGCCTAATGTAATGAATTGCCACACAAATCCGAGTTTTCCCAAATCCCAAATAAAGCGGCGAATTTGTTCATTATCCATACCGGCTATTATAAGAGATGAATAAAAATATAAGTGGTAACATAATGAACACCTATCATTCAAATAAATACTTGACAATTACCAGCATCCCAATTAAAACTTGGAGATAAATTATAAGCCAACATGGTTTCTGGATATTTTGATAGGACGCCTAATTAAATAATTGATGATTGAAAATTGATCATTAACATAAATGTTAGATATATCAAAGCATACATAAAAATATAATTACCTTGGGAGAATTCTTTTGCCTGTTCATAAATTGGACTTTTGGTTTCCTGGAGAATTGTTCACATTTACAGAAAATGAAATTATTTTACATCTTGAAGAATTCTTAAAATAAATATTCATACCATCCATAAAAGATCAGTATACGGAGCAAAAGCTACACAACGGTTGATAGCACATTTAGTACCACCTTGATAACGGTAAAATCCTTCACGTGTGCGCGGTAGATCCCAATCCCAAAATATTTCAAACCCAAGCGATTTAGCAAATTTTTTTGCGTCATCATGCGAAAGACTGTTTGCTTTACTATCCCATTCACGCAAAAGTTTATCTTTGTTTGCTTTATTAGAAGCTTTTATGGTGTCGGCTATGGCTTGAGGATAGGTCTTGAGTACAGCTTCTCGTGTCCATTTTTCTTCAATTTCAGCTAGTTCATTTCCATCTTTGCCTTCTTTTTGGGCTTTATCCAACACATTAACAAGGGGATCACTATGGGGATTAGTAACACCAATAATAAAAGCATGATCACGCGAATCAATAGTTGAGGTAATCAAAGTTGCAGCTTCAGAATCGGTACGAGCAACGATTAAATTTTCAACCCCCATAATATCGAATTGAACGCGAATAGCAATAAGGCGATTAATGTGTTCCGAAATAGGAACCAAAACTTTGCCAGCCATGTGCCCACATTTCTTCGTACCGGGAGCTTGATCTTCGATATGTAC